CAGTCGCACCTGTTGAAATTCATGACTAGGTAATGTTTTTGAAGCCAAAAAAATTGATCCAGATGAGCAATGGTCACTGATTATTGAGCATGCATGTAATTAGAAAAAGTCCTTTTTCAAACCCCATGAACGAATCGTACAGGACCGCCTCCGTAGTGGGCGGAGCTAACGCATGAATTTCGCAGGTTTTGCCACCTTTGCGCAAGAGGACGAGAAAACGGGTAAATATTGGCAGATTTTTAGAGATGGTTGGATAGATCCTAGTGGGAGATGTGTTCACAAAACTAGCTGGAGTGATTGTAAGACAGAATAAACGGCAGTGACCGTAAGCATTAGCCGATGAACTGGACTATGACCCTGCCTACTTGGTCGATATCGATTAGGACTATTGGTTTCTTCCTGCACAGCAGTCTGCCGACCGAAATTGTCGGCCTGAAGTCGTACCAGCGTTATCGTGTACAGCCAAAACCGGAGCTATATATCGTTCTTAGAAACTCCATGTCGAGATACCAAGGTATTTGCCTTTGTCGATCTGCCTCTGCCTCTGATCTTCTCAGCCACAAGCTGAAAATCCTTATCAACGAATTTCTTCCACTTGTCCAAGTGTTGGAGAATTGTAACCTTCGACAGAATCAGATGAGGATCGTGGTTCCAGTGAAGTTCTTCTAAACGGATTTGATAGTTGAAAAAGTTGTAAATAGGTTCCTGTAAATAGGGACCCAAAAATAGGTTCTTCACCTTTTCCGCACTCCTCAATTATTACTGGTGAACTTAGCGTATCGAACCATGGGAAAAACTGAGGTCCATCCAGTTGCCTGGAAAATTTACCGATTGAAAATGACAGAAATTGTCACAGGTTTCATTCCACAACGGGAAATCTTTTATGGAAGGGAGGATCAAGCTAACGGCATTGGCCATTCCTCTCTAAAAGACGCTGAACTTTATGTGTGGCACGGGACTTTATACCCAAGTTCCCAGGCTCGCAAGCGGTAGCGGTTTGGCAGCAACTACCGTTCCCTTGAATTCAAATTTCCCTTTCCCCGCGCTCCTACATGCAACGAGTGTGACTAGCGCCGTTCGGTTGTAAGGTCCTACATTCGTGTAGGACCTCGTCTACTGATTTCGTTATCAGGTAGGTCAGGTGGGTAGCAACTGTTCATGCTTCTTGCCTGATCAATTTTTTCCTTTATAATCGATTTTAGAAAATCTTATGAGCAGAATATTGCCAAAGACTTGCCTGATGTCCTCCATTCTGTATTTCTTCTTGTCAGCTTCCTTTCTTGCATGAAACATGAAGTCAATTTCGGGATTCCAATGACCATTCGTCAGCCATCCATCTCGAGCCCATCCTTGCCCCTGAATTTGCGGATTTGGGCAAAATCTCTCTCAGTTTTTCAATGAGCACTCACCTTTTCTAGAATTTTGATGTTTGGTGAAATTGCTTTCTGCAAAATTTGCCGGCAGCACACAGTATAGTACGATAGACTGGTGTAGTCCTTTGCTGCATTCCATAGCTCTTCACATTCTTCTAGGTCAGGTGAAGGTGCTTGTTTGACGACCCACATCTAAACAGCGGATTAGCTATTTCATACCGAAACCCGATCATCGTTATAGGCAGTAATTTCTTCAACTTTTCATCGATTTGTCTCTATGTGAGGTAAATTGNTCCCCCCCCCCCCCCCCCCTCAGGCTCCTCGTCCGACTTCTTCAACACGAAGACTGTGCAATTACCTTACAGTGTTCGATCGTGTGTGATAGTGCGCCAGTTGCCAGTGCACATCTCCGCTTCGTCCCCTCCCAGTACACCAAGAGACTACTACACCATTAATTAACAGGTAGATAATAATTCAAATTTAAATTAATACTTGGAAAAGAAATAGAATGCAAACTTGCTCACATGAATGGCCCCATTATCTCTACCATGAAAGGATTTCGGCAAAGAAAACTCATAGTCTGCCCATCCATGGAGAAACCGTTTTGAAAATTCACTTCGCTTTACGAGGTACGATCCTTTAATGAAAGAATCATTTCAAAGATTATTTCTGAAGGTAATCACTCAAACATTACTATTTCACGGATTACTTACCAGCCATAATTTCGTGGTTGAAAAATCTACTGTAGAAGATGATGTCCTTGGTCGAGTCGAGAAATTTCTCCAATTTACTAAAACGTATCTGTAGATACTTTGTTACTTAGTTTAAGAACTATGTTTTACTTCGTTCAGAACGATACATATCCCATCATACTTGCCCGGCAAGATTGAGCTGTGATCTAGGCGCCAAAAGACTCCCAAGAATGGAGGGTCCACGTTCGATTTCTGGTAAACCTTGGCCTGGTTTGTAGTAGTTTTCGTCAGATTTCTTGAAGCCGTTATCAAGATGCTAATGAGCTTTATTGGGCTTACGTTTCCACTTTGACGCCTTCGTCATAACCTGAATGACTATCAAGTTTTTGGAGTTAATCAATCCAGTTTTCGGGATGCGCCGCCATATTCGACTTACATCGGGTTCGTAGTAATGATTTGAATGCGTATGCGGCCTATACAATAATTGCGGTGACTAGCCCATGATCCAGTACCCCGGTGTGCCTGTTTAGCCTAGATGAGTATCCAAGGAAATGTAAATAAAACGAAATAGACGTACCTATTTTCATTGACCACTCCAATATCTGCATCAACGAAGAGAATCCAATCGAATGATCCGAGTGCTTTTGCTACGATACAATGCCGTTGAAAAGTGACCTAAAAATATTCCTGAAAAGTCGCAAGTTCGTCGATGAAGATAAATCTCAGGAGCTTCAAAAACAATTGTTCACTACAGCACCGAAGAAGTTACGATGAGAGTTCTTGCCAGAAGCCTTCCTTATATTTTAAATATAAAAAACTCATGGTACCAGTAAGAACTTCTGGAACTCACATCTTTCTGAGCGCATTCCTTTCTGTAATCTGTTGCAATCAGTACCAAATAGGTGTAGTTGTGTCTGAGAGCATAGCATTCCATCGTACTCATTGCAGTTTGATACTTTGCACGGTCGCCATATGCTCCCAGTACTGTTACGATGCCGATTTTCAAAGCCGGTATCTGACTGAAACTTCCAGAAGGATCGTATAACAATAGGAAGAAAATCGAAAAGTAAATAATCGAGGATGCTTAATTGCGATCAACAGTGAGAAGACTTAACGAGGGAACTTTTACTGTGAAAGAATCTCAGGAATTATTTTTGATCGGTGATTCCTTTTTCTCTGGATGACATAATTTAAAAAGAAAGGTTATTGGTGCTATAAAACTGTCATTTGTGACAGGTCATTAGGTCCAAAGTCAGCGCTTGCAGCCGAAGCCGGCATCGCTTCAGGATCTAACGCTTCTCGGCCGACACTGGATAAATATACAGTAGGAGAAAGCAATCTTGAAACAACAGCTCCTTTTATTGATGAGCTGTCAATCTCATCAAAAAAGTTGTTTTCATGAAAGTCCGTAGCTCGAAAGTTGTGCTAGGTTACTGAAAGAAGGGATCAGAGGCTATCAAAGGATGGGTGGGTGGGTTCCAATGTAGGCGGGGCTTGCGTCAAAGTAGGCGGGGCTTGTACAAGAGTAGACGGACCTAATGTTACAATTCATCACTCTATGAGGAAACATTTTTTGCCGTCAAGCACTCGACGACTGGCTTAATCTCAACTGGTGAAAAGTAAATAAACATACGCAATCAAATAAATATAAACAATCCAAGCAAACCAAGTGCATAAGATCGAAAAATCTTTAACTAACTTGGTTCTCAGAATCATTTTAGTACTGCTAAGGAAAAACTCTACAGGAAGCCAGCCAAAATTTTAAATTCAAAAAAAAAACTTAATAGCGCTCAGATCACCTCACCTCAACGAAAAAGATGCAGAGAAGGTAGCTCTCATCGTGAACGTTGATTGCGTTGATTCATACATTTGCTAGAATTGAATTGTACCTAATATGGTCTCAGAAGATTGGAAAAATAAGGAATGACACTCCAATAAGAAAAGCTTACCATAAAACGGATCAAGTAACCTTCAAGATAGTAATAGAACATATTCACTGCTCCAATTAGTAGAACAGCTCCAGCAAGTAGTTGCTTTTTCAGCATAACAGAAGATAAGGATTTTCCGAGTAATGACCTTAATGGAATATGTAGAACGGTCCCAAATTGAAAAGCATACAGTCAACGTCAGACTGACAAGAACTCTAACTTATGTTTAAATATAAAGTTTTGGGCAATTATCTACTCCGTTTCAGGGATGCGCCCCGCACTCGACTTCCATTCAGAATCGTAGTGGCGTAATGAATGCGTATGTAGTCTATACAATGAATTGCGGTGGCCAGACGATGTGAAAGTCAAT